GGACCCCGGGGAGGGTCTCCGGTGGGGTAAATCCGTGCAGCTCCGCCGGCTTCAGCCCTGCTTTGGGACGGCGGAGCATCAGACCCCCCTTAAAAAGTGCCCTTTGCTCTAACGCCTCCGCGTTCCCCAGGAATGCGCTGCAGGTACTTCCGAAGCGCCTTACTCCCACCGCCAGCACGCGCCTGTTCGCAGCGGCGTTGCTCTTTGTGCCAAAAAACCAGGCTGGGCTGGTTTCCTTCCACCCCCAGGACTGACCTCAGTCCCCGTTTCACCACCCCGCGCTGCTGGGGTGCTCAGAGATACTTCCAGCCAGCTCCTTGTTTAAAACCGCCCTCTTTCTCTTTTTTTCACCAGATTTCAGGCACGGAGTTGGCAACCTGGCCAGCTTTCCAGGACAGCGATAAAGATTTTCATTACCTTCGTGCTTGGAGCTCTGGTGCTGCATCTCTTTGCGCTGACTCTTTTGGCTGTGGTTGAACTGCCCCAACCCACGGCGAACGACCCCCTGCCTGCTCCTGCCAGATGTGCCACGGATCCAGGCAGACCCGGCGAGGGATCGATGCCCACCTACCCTCTGCGTACAAGAAGGGTGTCACCTCGGGCCCAAGTGACAGCCAACTCAGCCTTTGTCCCCAGGGATTTTATTCCCTCAGCCCCACAGCCCTCACTGCAGGCAGGGCTGGAGCAGGGAGGGCTCTCCTGGCACGCTCGCTGAGCACCCCGGCCACCAGACGTCCTGCGAGCACGGTCCCCAGGTCCTGCTCTCCTCATGGGTCCTCCTGCTGTTGTCTCCAGCACGGCTCATTTCGGACGTGACACAGCCGCTTTCCCGGTACCCGGCTCCCACCAGTGACCTCGGAGCAGGCTACAGGTTGGAGCGGCAGAACGGCGCTTCTGGAACGACCGAGTCTCCGATGCCTTCCAGGAGGTTGTCCCATCGAACTAACTCCTCTTCCAGGTCTGCACAGGGCAGAGACGGTGACGAGGTTACCACAGCGATGATCAGCCCTGCTCCAGACGTAAAGAACCAGCAGCCACCAGACCCCTTGGCTTTGTGCAATGGGATGGGAAGCACCAAACCCAAGCTCAGGGAGGCAGCGACCGCCCCGCAGCCCCCTGCAAGCCAGGGAGCCCTGGTGCCCTCCCGAGCCCCCGGCCAGCGCGCCCTCCACCCCGCGCCGCACCCAGGTGCCTTTGCAGGAAGGCCAGAGCCGCCTGGCTGGTGATGTCCAGACCCTTGTAGGGGTCCAGGGTGCCCCTCGCGTTGAAGATGCGGTTGATGAGCTTCCCAGTAAGAAAGGTGAAGTCAGTTTGGCTCTGGTGCACGGATCCCCTGGGACAGGGAAGGGATCTGCTTCAGTGGGAGCTGGGGAGAGGTCCTCCTGCTGGGACACAGCTCATAGGTGCTCCCAGGAGGGTACCGGCGGGTGGGTGCCCCCA